ACCCCCACTTTTCCTGATAGTACGGTGTTTTTCCCAGAGTATCTGCTTTTTCCCAGCTTTTGACACATTGACAGAGTTGGACTATGAGTGAGACCAGGAGCCGAAAGACGGACCATCTGTGGACAGACGGACCATCTGTGGACAGACGGACCAGCTGTGGACAGACGGACCATCTGTGGACAGACGGACCAGCTGTGGACAGACGGACCATCTGTGGTTCAGGATCATTGGATCTGTGGTTGATAAACTGATCCCAGAACTGCTGTAACTCTGGAGCCGTCCTCTTCCTCTTCCTCCTCTTCCTCCTCCTCCTCTTTCTGCTGCCGTGACTGTCTGTGGAAATCACATGCACACACCCATATACACCAGGAATGTCTGGCCCACGGGCCATATTTTGGCACCAAGACCTGATTTCTGTGGCTGCTCTAACGTACAGGGTATTTCAGACTGTGTACAACTGTAGTAGTGAAGTACACGTGATACCACATAAGTTACTTCATCCTGGATAACTCAGATTGGCTAACTATTAACCACCACCTTGGTTAACCATTTATAACAAACCAATAACAAACCAGGAGAAACAAGTGAGGACGGTGCTCAAACACAGGCTCCAGGCACCACAAGAACCACACCTGGTGTATTGAAGTACTACATCAGACAACATCCATCCATCCATCCATCCATCCATCCATCCATCCATCCATCCATCCAGATCCGACTGTGGCCTCAGCCCCATGAAAGTACAATCTATACCCCCCCCCCGCAATATAAATCAAATTCAATCAAATTGAAGGTGTAAATAATCCTGGGGTCACGACTTGTTATTGTTGACATGTGACCATTTACAAGTGAGAGAGAGAGAGAGAGAGAGAGAGGAATACTAATCCAGCCGTGGTCTCTTTCCCAGACGGACTTCCTGAACAGTTGACCCTCTGGTTGGCTGTGGTTTCAGAACTGAACCACTGACATTCTTCACTCTGTGGTGATCGTAGGTCGGACCAGTGATTTAATACTGACGTTGGAGCAGAAGTTCATAGTCACTACATTGTTTTTACATTCTCTTGTTTGTAAACTCTAAAGAATAAGTTTGATGTGGTAGAAAAACAACAACAACAACAACAACAACAGAGTGGACCAAAAGAGAAAAGACCAAAATGTCAAGGTTTTTCTTGACCACGTTGTTGATCCAGTTTCAGTTCAGGGCAGGAAGGAATGTCATGGCCCTGAAACATATTTCAATATTTCTACTTCAAACACGGGGACTTTTCTGTGGCCTGTGAAATATATCTGCATTTATTTTGGTTTTTCACTGAATGTGTAACTCCACAGTAAACAACAACAATGTTGAACTTCACTCTAAAGGTAACCATTTTTGTTAACGTGTTTCATTTCCTTTTTTTGCGTTCACCTTTTGGCTGAACTGACTTTTTGCTGCTTGGTTATTGCTGTGTATTTTGGGTTGACGTACAAGACTGTCTGTGGTGACAGACCCACTGTCTGTGGGTCTGTCACCACAGACAGGTTCACACTGGGTTCAACAGCAGGTTCAAACTGATCCAGTCACTGACGCAGCAGCTACAGCAGCAGCAGCAGCAGCTACAGCCGCAGCAGCAGCTACAGCAGCAGCAGCAGCAGCAGCTACAGCAGCAGCAGCAGCAGTAATAGCATCATCATCATCACCATCACCATCATCTTCATCATCATAATCATCATCATCATCCCCACCATCATCATCACCATCACCATCATCCCCATCATCACCATCATCATCAGCATCATCACCATCACCACCATCAACATCATCATCATCATCATCATCATGGGATTTACCCAAATACATTATGTTATCATATATCCCAGAGCAGATAAATGGCGTCTTTGTTGGCACCCACTGACATTTGGTTTTCATTTTAGGGGATTTTAAGAAAATTAATGAAACATTTCTCCATTTCTTTCATCTTAAGTTTGAAGAAAAAAACCCATCAATGGTGAGACTAACGACCTCAGATCTTTTCATCCTCAGGTTCCAAACCTTAGACTGTGTTTTTCTTTCAATCACATAGTATGAGTTTTTTTAAAGGCAGGCTGAGCCATTCGGGGCCGGGGGAGGTCGGGG